CATTCCCCTGCCAAATTTCCAGCACGTGGCCCTGGGCTACAGAAGCCTTTCCTCCCGCTTACGGCTCCAATCCTGTACAGACAGGTTTATTTGGGTCACTGAGGCACCTGTAGATTTTTGGCCACAAATGGTAGCTTATAAAATATTATTGTAACAGAGGGACACACACCTCCTCCCGGAAATAGGGGAGGGCTTTGAGCTGTGCATACGTGACTGGAAACTTTGCCCCTTTGCTGAACACATGGCTGGAAGAGGGGCAAAGGCAAATATGGCCAACACTGGCCCTCACTGGTTGGAAGTCTGGACGTTCCCACCGCTTTCTGCATGCATAGGATTCTGGGAAAGGACTTTGGAAACTGAAGCACCAGAAAGCAAAAAGTCCGTTGGTTCTTCTCTTCCCCAGGACAGGGGGGCATGCCAGTGGTCCCCAGCAGGCCTGCCAATGGTGGCCAGTGCGGGCCTGTGTGCAGAGGCCTGGGGGCACAATCTCCAGAAGGTCCCTGAAGCTGGACAGTGACTGGAGACCAGTGAAGCCCCCCACATTTAGGATACTTTTGGGTGGGAAAAGAGGTTCCTTGTGCAACCTTGAACTGAGCTAGCTGAGGGTAATTGGCTGATTTTTTCCTTTGGGTGTCTTAGAGGGAACGATCTTTGAAGCAGAAACTCACCCTTATTTCCAAAGACCTTGGTGATAATAGTCAGCACTGTGAACAGATTTTTGTTCTTGTGTTATTTTCAGTGCTTGAACCTATGTAGTAGTTGTAATGACAAATATTTAAATAGCTATGTTTGATGTCATACTCTGACTTTTCCTTTCCCCCTTACTTTTGTTACCCAGGTACTTTGAGGCAGAAACTTAACATCAAATAAAAGATTCCTTTCTTTTCCACCAAACCCCATCTTTGGAGACTTGCCTGGTAGGCGGCAAGCAGTAGGACCTCCCCAGCTGGTTGGGTTCAGTAACAGTACCCCAAGGATGCCTTCCTCCTAGGACTCTACCTCCATTCCAGCTCCCACTGGCTTCACATGCCAAGATGCAATGTGCTGCCCAACTGGGAGAAGTCTGCAGCCCTTGGGCACAGGGCAGCACTGCCCACTGAGAGAGCGCTTCCTTTTTTAAAAAGTATATTTTATTGATTATGCTATTACAGTTGTCCCTTTTTTTCTCCCCTTTATCCTCCTATGCTCTGCACCCTTCACCACCAGCATTCTCCCCTCCCCCTCTTTAGTTCATGTCTATGGGTCATACATACAAGTTCTTTGGCTTCTCCATCTCCTATCCTATTCTTAACTCCCCATCTATTTTGTACCTACCATTCATGCTTCTTATTCCCTATACCTTTTCCCCTGTTCTCTCCCCTCCCCCTCCCTGCTGATAACCCTCCATGTGATCTCCATTTCTGAGATTCTGCTCCTATTTTAGTTGTTTGCTTAGTTTGTTTTTGTTTTCTTAGGTTTGGTTGTTGATAGTTGTGAGCTTGTTGTCATTTTACTGTTCATAGTTTTGATCTTCTTTTTCTTAGGTAAGTCCCTTTAACATTTCATATAATAAGGGCTCGGTGATGAGGAACTTCTGTAACTTTACCTTCTGTGAAGCATTTTATCTGACCTTCTATTCTAAATGATAGCTTTGCTGGGTAGACCAGTCTTGGATGTAGGTCCTTGCCTTTCATGACTTGAATACTTCATTCCAGCCCCTTCTTGCCTCAAGATTTCTTTGGAGAAATCAGCTGATAATCTTATGGGAACTCCTTTGTAGATAACTGTCTCCTTTTCTCTTGCTGCTTTAAAGATTCTCTCCTTATCTTTAATCGTGGGTGATTTAATTATGAGGTGTATTGGTGTGTTCCTCCTTGGGTCCAAATTCTTTGGGACTCTCTGAGGTTCCTGGACTTCCTGGAAGTCTATTTCCTTCACCAGATTGGGGAAGTTCTTCATTATTTGTTCAAATATGTTTTCAATTTCTTGCTCTTCCTTTTCTCCTTCTGGCAGCCCTATGATTCAGACTTTGGAACATTTAAAGTTGTCCCAGAGGTTCCTAAGCCTCTCCTCATTTTTTTTAAATTCTTGTTTCTTCATTCTGTTCTGGTTGAATATTTATTTCTTCCTTCTGTTCCAAATCGTTGATTTTAGTCCCAGTTTCTATCCCTTCGCTGTTGGTTCCCTGAATATTTTTCTTTATTTTGTTTTCATGGCCTTCACTTTTTCCTCTATTTTGTGACCATACTCAACTATTTCTGTGAGCATCCTGATTACCAGTGTTTTGAACTCTGCATCTGATAGGTTGGCTATCTCCTTGTCACTTAGTTCTTTTCCTGGATTTCAGATCTGTTCTTTCATTTGGGCCCATTTCTTTGTCTCAGCATACCTGTTATATTGTAAAAGGCAGAGCCTTAGGTATTCACCAGGGTAGGGCAATTGACCTTGCTGGGTTGTGGCATTGTATGTGGGGGAGGGGTCAGAGAGGGAACAATGCCACTTGCTTGCCTCTCACCCCACTTTTAGTGACTTCCCCCATTACCCACAAGCAAATTGGGCCTTTCTGGTGCTGATTCCTATGTGGGTGGATTTGTGTACATTCTAGGACTCTGCAGGTCTCTCCAACAAACTGTCCTGTGAAGCTGGGAGATTCTCCTGCCACCACAACCCCATAGATTTTTACAGCCAGGCATTTTAAGGCTTTAGTTTCCTGCATTGGAACCTGGGTTGTGTTGTCTGTCTTGCTCCCCAGTTGTTCCTCCTGGCTTATCTGCACATGAACGTGGGACCACCCGGTCCACCTGGTCTATTGCTTTGCTGCACATCCTCTCCACCCCGCTGCCTGTTTCTGCCCCTCTTACTGGTCTGAATGAATGTTTCTTCTTTAACTTCTTGGTTGTCGGACTTCCATACAGTTTGATTTTCTGGTAGTTCTAGTTGGTTTTGTTTTTTAAAAGATTTTATTTATTTATTTTTAGAGAGAGAGGGAAAAGGAGAAAGGAAGAGAGAGAGAGAAACATTGATGTGCAAGGGATACATTGATCAGTTGCCTCTTGCACACCCCCAACTGGGGACTCAGGCCACAACCCAGGCATGTGCCCTGACTGGGAATTGAACTGCTGACCTTTCAGTTTGCAGGCTAGCACTCAATCAACTGAGCCACACCAGCCAGGGCTGTTTTTGGTTTTTAAATTGGTTGTTTTGGTTGTGGGAAGAAGCAAAGTGTATCTACCAATGCCTCCATCTGGGCTGGAGGTCCCCGAGGTCAGAAACCGCTTCCTACTTTCTTTTGGTCGGATCCTGCCATCTTGTTTCAGGCGGAAGAGTGGCCGTCAGTAACAAAACTTTCTCTTACCTCCTTTTTGCTCCAGTTGGTGGAAATATCTTCCAGACTTCCTTGGTGACTAATGATACTGTCACCTCCCCATGAAGGTGTGGCCTTCATGGGGAGGTGACAGGCTGTCAGATCTTCATTTCATAGAGGGTTAACCCCATCTAGAGTCCGTTAACCCGACTCTACTAGGCAGTGCTCTTTGGGTTGCAGGTGACAGAGACCCAACTCAAACTTTTTTCACAACAAGGGACATTTATTGAATTTTAGGGTTGCAGTAAAGACAAGCGTGTGTTTAGAAATGGTGGACTCTGGGGCTGGACGTCTGTCTGGACTCCGCTTCCTCCTAGAGGAGGCTTGTGCTCTCAGAAGAGCTGCTCTACTTAGTTTCAGTTCAGACTACACTGGCCCGTGGAGGACAGAGCCCTGCGGCTCGCAGCCCCACTAAAACCCCACGGGGAGTGGAGCTCTCCCCCAAGGCAGTCCTGTGCCCAGAAGGGGAGGGAGGCAGACAGACAGGACAACCAGTCCTCTCCACCCTGTTCCACCCAGTGGTCTTCATCACAGTTGTCGCCTACCCTGCCAAGCCTGTCTGCCATTTCTGCCTAAAGCTACAATAGGCCTCAGGACACAGTTTGCATGGTTATGACCAGAGTATTTCCAGGAGAGTGATGACATCACAGAACAGGGGTTCCAGAAGGCAGGGTGGGGTGGGGCGTAGCCCAGCACTCCCACCTTCTTTAGAACAGAAAGAGCTGTGGGTTGGGTGGGTCTAGCGTACAGTTCATGAAAAAGAGGAGGCTCCTATCCAGACAGCTTTGTTCTACAGATTCTCACAGAAGTCCCTGGGCCACCTAAGACCTGGGATCAGAGAGGAGTAGGAGAGAGGTAAGCTGCAGGAGGGGAGGTAGGAATGCACCTGCCAGAACTACTGTCTTCCCCAAGGGAACACCAAGAGTGGACTTCGTTGCTTCCCAAAGCTCAGGGACACCTGTCTCTGAAGGAACCTACTGAGTCAGGGCAGGGTAGGGTTGTGTGAGACATACTAAAAATGTATCTGTTGTTTGTCTGAAATTCTAATGTAACTAGGCATCCTGTAATTTTATTTGCTAAATCTGGCAACTCTAGGGTGGGAGAGAGAAACAGAAAAATGGTTTCAAACTCAGGATGGTATGGAGTGAGTCTTAGAAGACAGAACCAAAGGTGTGTGAGGAGACATGGCCATCGGGGGAGCCACCTTGTCCAACCAGAAGCTGCTGAATGCCTGGCTCATGGAGCTGGTAGATGGAGAAACTGAGGCCTTTTCCCTCAGGAACACAGACCTGGTTTAAGGGGAGAGATGCACACATACAACACACACACCACTACTGACAGAAATAGCCCCACTCTTTGTTTTCACGGCACTGACTGTTCTGAAGAATATAGGCTGGTTTATTTTCTAGATGTTCCCTCTGTTTGGCTTTGGCTTTGATATTCCCTCGGGATTAGGTACAGGTTATGCATCCCTAGCCAGAATACTACAGAATAAAAGAGAAGAGGCTGGAAACAGCCAGGTGGGGAGCAGTGAGTGAGTGAGCAAGGACATTTGGCTGCCCTTTCCAGATTCCTCGGATTGTCGGAGAAGACCAGCAGGAAGACCGTGAGGCCCTGAGCACCGTAGGCCCTCCGTCGTGCCTGCTCCCCTCGGATGATGATGAGGGCATTACTCACCTCCTTGGTCAGCTGCCTTGTTGCCATAAATCAGGCCGGCCTCATCAACCGCTGTGACTTGGCCAAGGTGCTGCATGAGGAGGAACTGGATGCATTTGAGGGCTACTCCCTGAGTGACTGTGAGTGCCATTTCCTCACCACCCCCCATTTTGCCTCTCCTGGTCATGCCCTAAGGGGCCATCTTTCTTTCTCTGTTTTGTCTATGAAAGTCAAGTTCAAAAAAGCAACCGTCTCCAGGAAACCTTTTCCAACATTCCATATTCATTCAACAATTATTACCTTATTATGTACCAGGAAATATTTTAGGTGCCGGGGATATAAATAAAGCCCCTTCCCTCAAAGTGTTCACATTCTGGGGAAGACCTAAGCAATTAATAAACAAAAACTATATGAAGTACTTCCTGGGGTGATAACTGCTGAGCAGAAGAATAAGGCAGGGAGAGTGATGCGTGATACTGCTGTAGAAAGGGAAGTCAGGGAGGGCTCTCTGAGTAGGTTACATTGGGCAGTGCTGGTCACCAAAATGTCCAGGGGGAGAGCATTCTGAGCAGAGGGAACTCCCATTGCAGAGGCTTCGTCCCGTTGCACCTTAAGGATATCTCCATTTTGCCTAGAATTTGTGCACACCTGTCTCACAACACTTCCTTCTTTCAACTTGCTTTGTGGTTGTTTTCGGTGCATATCTTCATTCTTGTACTATAGGCCCTTTGAAGGCAGCATCTGCATTTGACTCCACTAAATGTCCCTTGCAGGGCTTTGTACAGTTCCCGGCACACAGTAGATGCTTATTAGTGAGTGCCAGAAGCACGGATGGACGGATGAATGGTTAAGCTGGTGGGTGGGTGATGGACTGAAGGAGGAGAGAGGAAGCTAGGGGGTGTTTCTAGCCTGATGGCTCCAACCAGCATCTTAGACCTTCTCATTTCGATTTCTCATTTCTCTTTCTCCTTCATCTTCCTTCTCCCTCAGCGTGGCCCCCTCTAAATAGCCTCTTCTCTTTTTTCTAAGGGCTGTGCCTGGCTTTTGTGGAAAGCAACTTCAACATATCAAAGGTAAATGAAAACACAGATGGCAGCTTTGACTATGGCATCTTCCAGATCAACAGCCGCTACTGGTGCAACGACCACCAGAGTCACTCGGAAAACATTTGCCACGTGGACTGTCAAGGTCTATCCAGGGCCCCAAGGTGGGAGTGGGGAGAGAGATGACCAAGCTCTACTCATCAGACTTCTCTTTCCATTTACAGTCTGACAATGCCCCCAGAGGGATGGTTCGGGGAGTCACGGGGGGTTCTTTGCTGAGTGGGTCTCACTAGTGGCCTTAATGGCTGCCCAGTTGGGAGATTCGTGGGCATCCTCGAGTATGATCCAGAAAGGCTCTGCACAGCCTGTAACAGTACAGCAGCAGCCAACTTTTATTGACAGCATATTATGTATTTAGCACTTTACATGCATATCTGATTTCACCCAACTTTTCACACAGTGAAAACTATTATTCCCACTTTACAGAAGAGTAGCCTGAGGATCATAAAGTCAGTGGTGGCCAGACTGGTGGTCCCGGGGGCTCAGCTCTAATTAATATGTGGTAATAACTTTGGCTAATGATCTGACCAAAGACCAAGGACAAACTCCCCATTTCACAGACTACACAGGTGCCTGACTCTGCCCCTCGCCTTCTCTTTTGTATCCTGATTTATGTCCCTGGATCTTCACCTGAAGAGCCGCCATTAGGCAGGATTTGACCTTAATCTCCGTGCTGCCTGTTTCAGCATTTCCTTTCCCTAGAAACCCCCAAGCTTTGGGTGAACCACCATCTACTCTGGCTAAAAACTATGGCAGTAAGCAGGCCCAAACCTCAGTCCTCCTGCCTCCAGCCTTGGCCGCCCTTGACCTCCAGCAGCCATGGCAGGGAGGTCTAAAAAGGCCTCTGGAAGGGAGGCCTTGCCTGGTCTGGAAGTGCTCAGGCCCCAGGAGGTCCAGGCTTGGGCAGGGAGAGCAGGTGTCTGCCTCGGTTGTTGGGACTGTCCCCTGCTCTTACAGGTATTCTCTTTCTCCTTTTCAGAGCTGCTGAGCCCCAATCTTCTCTCAACCATCAACTGTGCAAAAAAGATCGTGTCCAGTGCAGGGGGGATGAGGAACTGGTGAGGAGGACACTGTAGGACTCAGCCAGCAGGCAGAGCCCCAAGAAGGATGCGGGAGGGAGAATAGGCCGGGACCAGACGCTTTCTGCAGTCTAGAAAGGTGTGGGATAATGACAGGGCTTGGAACTCTGGCTCGAAGACCTGGGATCTAGTTCTTTCTCTGATATTATATGAAACAAAAGTCTTTTGGTTACAGTAACAAAGTAACCTGAGCTAGCCGGAGGGAGAGTTAATCTGAGAGGACATGGTGTCTCCCGAGCCCACACAAGGGTGCAGCTGGGCCTCAGGAAAAGAGCGGAAGTTGAACTGGAAACTGTCGGCAAGCTTTCCCTGGCAGGGTTCTGCTTCTCTGGGCGCGTTTGCTCCACTATTCCTCCGCAGACCAGCTTTCTCTGCTCCACAGTCCCCAAGACACTACGGCCACCAAAGTTTATGGTCTAACATCATAAGCAACCACTGAGACTGGCTAAGCTCAGTCCCAGTCCAGGGGCCTGGGACAGAGAATCCGATGGTCCAGCTTGGACCCTGTGTCCCCACTTGGTTCCATCAGATGGACCATGGTTAAAAATGAAAGTAATACTATCATAGCTGCCACCGGACTCCTCTCCGTAGCTGGAAGCAGCATTTTCTATACAAATGTGTTGCTCACCAGCTGGGCAGTCACCCCCAAAGCTGTCAGCTTACCAACACTGGATGTTGGGATGATTACTTAACTTCTCTGAGCTTTAAACTGGATGTATAAATGATATAAATGGCTGCCTCTGCAGACAACTGTGAGGATGGAAGGAGTTAGGTGCCTTGCATACTCTAAAAACACCTTGCAAAAGAAGGGACATAACTATTAGGGCTGAGCCTTTCTGGAGGGAGAGTCAGTAGTTGCACTTGGGGAAAAAAATATGTGTATGTAACTCTCAGCCCTGTAAGCCTGTGTTCTCCCTCCAAAGAGGGAGATAGGGATTTGAAAATGTCAAAGCACACTGACTGGGGGAAGTGCAAACGCCGTGGACAAGAGAAGCTTAAAGGAAGAATCAGAGGGGCCGGAGGAAGGTAGATGAGACGGCTGGGAATGAAGCTGCTCTGCGCAGAAGACTCCCTGAGATCTGGGTCATGTGTGTGGAGCAGCAGCTACTATGTGGGAGGCAAGAACCAGTCTTTTCCTCCCCACAGGGCAGCCTGGAGGATGCACTGTGCGGACCGGCCACTCTCCTACTGGATGACAGGATGTCACCTGGGATGACGCAGGGTGCGGGCCTGCGGTGGAGCCATTCCGCAACTCCTCTCCTCCCGGGAAATTCTCCCTTCCCTCTTCTCTCGCCTCCACTTCGTGCTATTTCCTTCCCTTCCCAGTTACAAATAAAACTGACGAGAGTCCCAGGAATAAATAGTTTTCTAGGGTTTCCTCCTTGTTCCCATCCAGGCCCAGGCCCAGGCCCCTGGTTCCTGACTGTCATTTGTAAACCAAGAGGACCACAGTGGAGATGTTTCTGTAAAACATTCCTTGTGGGAAAAAATGTGTTAATTTATTCATCATTAGTTCCACATATATTCGAGTCCCGAATGCAGTGGGGGTATGCTAGGTACTAGAAGAAGGAAGCTGAAACATAACTATTGTTCTTGAGGTGCTCATAATCTAGGTGGTGAGAGACAGACACACAGGAACAATGGATACATGGATGAAGGGACACATGAATGGATACAATGGATAATGAAATGGATAGTAAAATCTATAATTACTCATTTGAAACAATATCAGGACCCCACTAATTCTTCGAAAGTCAACTATTTTTGAAGTAAAGAGAAGGCTCAGAAATAGGTGATGGCTGAGGCTAAGGGCCAGGTATATGGAGGCAGAGAAAGTAGTAGAGAAATGGTGTTAGGTGCCATTGATCTGGGGGTTCTGTGGGAGGACGGGCTAGAATCTAGATTTTAAAAGGCTTTTCTGCGTAGGATCTGACTTGCTCGGAAGGTGCTGATGTGGAGTACAGCTTGCTAAGGGCCGTGAAAAGACTGTTATCATGGACCTCTCAGGTCCTGACTTCTCAGCCTTCACTGCTTCTGCTCTAAAACGAGAGATTTGACTGTTCAACGGTCCCCAGACTTTTGGATTTCACAGGCCAGTAAAATGTCAGAAAAAGTCAAGACCATGATAAGATTTCCAACTTTTTATTTTAATGCCCAAGTAAGAGTATTAATCAAAACAACTATCCTCTGTTAGCATCTCTTTATAAATTAATTTTTAGCATCAAAATGGAAGGTAGGTCATATTTGTAGATAGTAAAGCAGAATAGATTTTGTTTTATAATTTTTTATTTGATTATAGTGTTCTTTGCCTGTTTTTCTGAGGATGGGTGAAAACTTCATCACAGCCCAGCAGGGTTGTTGTTTAGAAACCTCGGTACACTTGTTCTGTAAGGTCCCTTCTGACTCTGACATTCTAGGATTAAAATTGGGATTTCTAGGACCTACTTTCCCTGTGAGGGCAGTACTCTGCACAACAGCCCACGTCAGGACGCCCAGGAAGGCCCCGCTCAGGCACCATGAGGTCCACTGTTGGTCCCCTGATAGGGCCAGCAGTTTGATTTTTCCAAACTCATCTCTCCCCCTCACCCTGCCTCCCAATCTCCTACATCATCCAACCCCACAAACACATGTTCACAATTCACCAGAATTGTGTAGGAAAATCATGGAACTTTTTTTAAGGATTTCATGCTAGACTGTTAATGACTGGACGAGTTATACCTTGATGTGCATATTTAAAACTCATGAAAACACTCAAGTCAAAGGACTGGATCTCTAGTGGTCATTTCTCAGAGTTGGAGAACCTAAAATTTTTAAGTTCAGTAGGCAGTGCTCTAACCACTTAGAACCCTAGTCGTCTTTGGGAGTGAAGATGAAGCCAGCTGCTCTAAAGATGTCTGTACTCTCTGATCTTTTGGCCTCTACCCTTAAAATACACTTTTTCCTTCCCTCTCACCGCCCCCCTCCCAACCCAGTGAACAAGTGTATAGAGTACACTGTTAGAAAGATGGTTTAGTAATATTTCCTCTCAGGTTTTAAAGCTATTTGCAAGTGTTACTCAGCTACTTCTACTATTAACTACATCAAGCCCTCCTAAATGTCTAGAAAGACTAGATATTTCACGTAAGAACTTACTTACCTACTATGTACACAGCACTGTTAAAACTGCACACGCACAACAATAGTTACGATCTGAGGTATCTTCTGAGGAGGACCGTGTTGGCCTCTCTCCCTTCTCTCCACCACCAGTCCAGGGGACAAGCACAGGCAGGCATGAGTAATACTCAGACAGGGCGGAACAGATTCATATCCCAAAGTCATTTTACAGATGACAAACTTTCCTATGAATTTCACCACAAAGTGTACAAAATGTGCTCATTTTACCAACTACTTTGTCAAACACTGGCAGCCTCTTCCACATTTAGGAAGACTAGATGTTGTCAATTAGACGCATTTGCCCTTTATATACACTATGCACACAGCTTTTTCATATTATACACACAACCCTTCTAAAAGCAACCAGTCAATCTTCCTAAAGGATGGTGGGCACTTCCTATTAGTGAAATGTGGTATGGTATGCTGCCATTTCCCTCTTCTGAAATGAACGTCGATAGTAGAAGTGGTCCAGTGGCCTGCTAATTGTTCCACCTGTGGTTGACTGGGGCTCCCGCTTACCTTTCGTCCCATTAAGGCCTTTGTCCATTGTCATCAGGATGAGGTAAGGTCTAGTTCAACTGGGACAGAGGAGTGGCCCCAAGTGCTCCATCCACATGGCTCCAAGGCCTAAGTGTGGGCAAGCGTGTGTCCACATAGACCCGCCTTCTCCTGCCCTGGAAGGCCCTAACATGCCTTCCAGTGGCCGCCATCTCTGACGCTCAAAGGCAGCATGGCCTTGGTGCCTTGGTGGGGGCTCTGTTAGGCCCTGCAGGGTTGGGCCTGGAGACCCAGAGGTCTGCAGGTTGCGGGCTTGGAGAGGCCATTGACACCAGGTCATGGGGGTGGGGTGGGGGGAGAGGTTCACTGCTGCTTCACAGCCTGGGCCTGGCCAGTGGGGAACTGCAGGGAGGGCTGTGGGTCTCTGCAGGACAGAGCCTGCTGACTATCCCTGAGATCCCCAGCTCACTGGCCAGCCCAAGGCCAGAGGGCCTGGGGTGGCCCAGAGGAGAAGCTATTTTAACACTTGGGTAGAGAAGCAATGGACTCTAGGACATTGGGGAGGAACTAGAGGCAGATACCCTCAGGGGGCTGGGGAGAGGTGGGATGCCCAGCTAGCCCTGTCCCTCTCACTACTCCCTCCCCCCCTTTTCCCTGTTACACTATATTTATTAGTACATCTTAGATCCTGTACTTTTATTGAAAGGTACTAACATTTTGAGGAAAATCTAAATGGAAGTATCAATCAAAATTATTTTGCAGAATCTTTTTGAAATGACCCAGAGGTGACCATCAAATGGTGTTCATTGGTCCCAGTACAGAAACTCTGACTTTCTGGAATTATAGTAATATCCATTGCAGCTATGTGCTGAAAGGCCCCCAAATCTAGTGAGACACTGAAGAGGGAGTCATAGACAGGCTTCCCCAAAGCTTCTGTTTCACGCCACGTTCTCCCTTAAACTGTCAGTACAGCAGATAAGGCAGTGGTACAGCTAGGGTACAAAGGAATTAGCTCCAGGGCAAGAAGTCACTCGCTCATAGACTAAAGAGAAAAAATTTGGTTCTTAACATTTGCACTGGACACCAAAATTGCAAATACATTAATGATCTCCCTGCCCGCCACCCTGATACAGAGAATAGTGAAGCCTCTTCAAGTCTGTTTCCTTATCCATAAATGGGGTTAATAGTAATGCCTCCCTTGATGGTAGGTATATTAAATAAGATAATGGATGCACACAATCACTGTCTTTTCGAAAGCAAGCAAGCAAAACAAACAAACAAAAAACCCTCAACTCCTCAAATCTCACTGCACCAAGGAACTCAGTCCATGGCTCACTATCAGACCAACTATGGAGCGGGAGCCAAAGACATAACATGATGGCCAGGAGAATGGTCCAATTTAGACTCAGGGAAAATGTTCTGAGAACCAAATCCAGTGTTACAGAACAAGGTGGGCCTGGGACGATTTACTATCACCCAAAAGGAACCCCGCAGGTTCATTATGTCTGCCGCCAGAGGAAAGACATCTCTCAATGCCAGAGATTCGTGAAAAGAAAGGAAATGTTTATTTAATGCTATACAGACTTAAAGTAGTTACCTAATGTTTTCATCAAAATCCCAAAGTCCCTTAAAACACCCACAAACACACACAGTCCTTCCTTTCCCCCCTTTGCCCAGTCTGGGGTACTGTATCTCAGGAAAAGAAATAGAAGTCCATGGCTCAGGCAGCCCCCAGTTCTTCCCAGTAATCCGTGCTCGGCTGGTTGGCCTCCCTCGGTTCCCGGCACCATCAGCTGTTGTTGCCAGGATCTCTGCTAAAGCCAGATGGTGGTTTCGCCTTCTAAAGCTGTGGGGATCCCCATTCTGCCAAAGCCATGTGGTTCTCTTCTTTCTATTACCACAGCCGTGTGATCCTCTCTGCACAATGGCTGCGGGAGTCTCCACTCTGCCAAAAACACATGGTTCTCCCCCCTCAATGGCTGCAAGGAGGGTGGTTGCCATTCTGCCAAAGCTGAGCGGCGGTTCTCTGCTAAAGCTGCATAGTGATTCTCTCTCGCAGGGCTGTGGGAGTCCCCACTCTGCTAAAGACCGAGTAGTTCTCTCACATGTCCACACTTGCCAGCACTCCCATATCCTTCTAGCTTCAATGGGCTGCCATCGTGGGTCTGGGCAGGCACAGCCCCATATCATGGAGCCAATCTTCTCCAAGCTCCCACACAGGCACTGTAACTCTGGGGACCTGCCTCCCAGTTAGTCTTGGTGGGGAAGTTACTTCCATTCCCCTGGCTCAGAGCTGGCCACAGTTATTTAACATACCTATGCAACCAGTTAAAGGTTATAGATATGTTAAACGACCACACCAGAGGTTAGCTGCAAAGCTGTTGCTACACGAGAAACAGCTCTCAATGGCCCTGCTCCATTTGTCCCTTCCTCCAACCCACACCTGTGGCACCGAGATGAGGACATCCTAATGTTCCTGGACACCTTGAGTTCTGGACCCCATTCCAAATCCCTATCCCCCCCCACGTCACCCCACTTGGCTGTACCCTGTTACACCAGGAGGACATCTGATGTGGAAACCGAGGAAGGGGATACAGGGTGGCGATATGAAACAGAGGTGGATTTACTCTCTCACCCCATATTTATGACTCACTGCTCCCTCGTGTTTGGGAAGAGCAAGAACGCGGGCACGTTCAGTAGGAAGTAAGGACATTCTAGGGCGCTCAAGCGTGTGCCTTGCATGTGCAGGGCACGGATATTGGTAGAGTCCCGCCAAATCCATCTCTCAGTACACCCAGGATGAACGGACAGAGGGCCCCGGTAGGATTTTGAGCCAGTGAAGAAACGAAGCCCAACGCCAAGCGAGCTCCATTACCCAAGGCAGGAAGGCAGCTGCGCGTAGCCCACTAGCGCGTGAATCGGCTCTTGTGTTCAGATGGCACCGCAAGATTAACAGGCACAGGGGAAGACAACCCTCGCTTTTCTGATAGAGACATTCTTTTCTGCAACTCTCCTCCTGTTTTCATTTTGTTTTACTTGGTTGCGATTATCTTGAGTCAAATAGGAGCGCTCTGCCAAGGAGGACCTAGACACCCCCCCCCCCCCCCCCCCCCCCCACCCCCCACCCCACCCCCCCCACCCCCACCCCACCCCCCCACCCCCCACCCCACCCCCCACCCCCCCACCCCCACCCCCCCCACCCCCCCCCCCCCCCACCCCCCCACCCCCCCCCCCCCCCCCCCCACCCCCCCCCCCCCCCTACCCCCCCCCCCCCCCCCCCCCCCCCCCCCCCCACCCCCACCCCCCCCACCCCCCCCCCCCCCCCCCCCCTACCCCCCTACCCCCCACCCCACCCCCCTACCCCCCTACCCCCCACCCCACCCCCCTACCCCCCTACCCCCCACCCCCACCCCCCACCCTCCTCACCCTTCCTCTCTCCTTGGCTTCCTGCCCGCCTCACTGGTCTCAGCCAACCCTTGCTAAGCTGCGTCCCGTACGTCACGAGTTTCTAGGCAAATCAGGAAGCTCCTCGGGTCTGGAGCGTCCTCGCGCGCCCCCGCCTGGACCAAACGGTCTGGGCGCGTGGTGGTGCCCGAGAGCGTCTCCGGCGAGGCGCACGTCGAAGCGAGGCGCGCGTCGAAGCGGGCAAATCGGCCGGCCGGCCGGCGGAGCGACCCGATGAGCGGCGGGAGCAGCGGGAAGCAGCCCTCAGTGAGGATTTAGGTTTTGTTTTGTTTGCTTGGGTTCATGCCGGTATCTCGTCCCGGATTTTCTCTGGAATCTAGAGATGTGGCCTCATGGCGAACTTGGCCGCCTCACACTTTTTTCCGGTGGGCTGGAAACCCTAACGGGTACTCATTATCTTTTTTCCACATGTGGGTTTTTTTTTAATGTTTTAAATATCATCCCCCTTTAAAAGCCTTCATGGCCTGCGGGGCTCAGAGCGTGAGAGGCATTTTGTGGACACAGCAGGGAGGGAACTCCGCTCAGCGAGCTGGCCTTCTTAAGCTCTGTATGCCAATGGCGGACACAGGTCCTCACACACTATTGGCGAATGTCCTGCTCGTTCGTTCGTTCCTTCGTAGCTGCTGAGCTCCCACAGGTTCTGGGCGCTTGTGATCCATCGGTGAAAAACACCAAGGCCCCTGCCCTCACGGGGCCTGCTGCCCAGGGAGCGGGGTAGACGGCAGTAACAGGCCTACGAAGTGAACGGGAACGTGTTAGGACTGTGCTGTGGGAAGAGAAAGCAGCGTCGTCGCTCAAGGGTGTGCCGTGGGGTGGCGCGGCATCGGGGTTAGAAAGAGGGTGCGGGTGGCCGCCCTCATTGCAGAGATACGTTGGCCTGGGCGAAGGAGTTTTCAGGGACGAGGCCAATTCCAGGAAGGGAGGAAGGGGGGTGGAGAGGCTGGACTGTGACTCAGGTGTGTACAAGAAACTGCAAGGAACCCTGGGATATGAGGGAGCGGTGAGAACCCTAAACTGGGAGGAATCCGGCTCAGGCTACACAGCCAAAAGCAGTCCTGTTGCACCTCAGTGTCCGCGGCCTCCTGCTCGCTGCCGGCCCCCCACCTCTCCCCGGCTGGAGTGTAGGTCTAGAAATTTAGAGAGTATGAAAACAAAAAGGAACCCTCTCCCTCCCCCAATTTTCTTATGTCTATTTATGTGGCACGGACACGTACCGGTGACAACCACAGGGGAAGACCAACTAGCTTGGCTTGTGGTGGTCAGAGATGGGAAGTCTTTTTTAAGCTAAGGCTCTAGGAGCAGAACGTAGTCTATGAGATTGATTCACAAGACAGGGCTTTGCAGAGAAAGGTGACATCAGCAAGCTAAGCGGAGAGGAATGAAATAGAAGGGGCTCTTGCGTTAACCTCTGTTCGGAGTTGCTTGTGACAGTGCGGCCCCATCAAAACACAGATAATATGGACTCTTTGAATACGTAGAAGCAGTGAAGTACTAAGAACGTTGCTCCGCAGTTACGATGCCTGGGTTTGAATTCTGGCTCCACCTCTTAATTAGTTGTGTGATTTGGGATAAGTTACTTCACCTCTCTTAGCCTCCATCTGATCTGTACAAAGAGGGGTGGGGGTGGATTACTAAAGTAAAGCAGTTCAGTGCCTGGGACATAATATATATTTTCTAAAGGTTAAAATTATTAGACAAGATGTGATTGAGAAAGTGTCTGCAGATCGGTAGTGAGTGCCTAGCTTGGTGTAGGTGTTATGAAGACAGTACTCTATCTCAAAGAATTCAAAAGTTAATTGGGATTCTACAATGTATAAGTGAGTGTGACTGATATTAGAACATTATACAGCTGACTAATGTTAAGCATGTGCTTGAAACAGTGGGAAGGCCATTGTCCTGTGCCCTTCTCATGCCACTTTCAAAATAACATTAGATATAAACAACTGATATTTTCTAAATCTTATGTAAGATGTGGGAAAATACTTAAAACACTGCTGTTTCTTTCTCTCTAGCTGTTGGCTTTTCTCATAAGGATGGAAATGCTACTGTTTAGTGTCTGGGCCTTCCTGGCTTTGATTTCTTCCCCAGGTAAGGCTATTTTGCCAAAGTTTGTTTCGCCATGCATGCCAGGGCACAGGTGGCTGGCCAGTGAGGAAGAGGATAGGAAGTCCTGAATGGGGCCACACTCTAGTATTCACGCATCTGGACCCTCAGGAGAGATTCCTATTATTCGGGTCACTAGGCCACAGAATCTAGGTGTCTCTGGTTATATTGGAATAACCCAAATTAAGGGACAGGTTACTAGACCATCAGCAAGAACGTTCCATAAGAACTGTTACTTCTCAGCTTGGCTCCCTGCTGCCCCAGGGCTGTCTTATTTTTCTACTCTTGAAAATATTTTTACTTCTTTGTTGCCACTATTTGTGTCATGAAGAGCCACAGCAGGACTTTGATAGGACAGGGCCCACAGCTCAGGTGTGAGGAGTGAGTTCTCTGAATGGCAAGACAGAAACTGGAGCCTCAGTGGGGACATTGCTACAGGAGAGTCTGTTCCCAGAGGGGCTGGTTTTGGAGAAATGAGGTAGATGACGGGCTTGGCGAAGCTAAAGGGGACTGTAGGGAAGCTTATGAGATTGTGCTCCTCTCCTACATCAGGCCTAAAGTGTACCTGAGAGATGTCTCGCTCACTGCACCTGAGATTTCCCTAACAGACTAAACTCTTAAGCATTCAAAAACTTCTGTTGCTTAAGCACCGAAGCAAAATGGAACAGTCTCACTTTGAGCGGAGGTGAAAAGTTCCATGGCAGATGAGTGACCCTGGGGGTCATCCTGGGAGCTTCCAAGATTTCTGGAAGTTTGGGAAGAGAATAGTTTCCTGGACACAAGTTTTAGCAACTCCATAGTTTCCACAGTGACAGTAATGGGGCAATCAGATCTCAAGAAAGACCATGAATGGAGGGACTGGCGGTGGACTCAGGATTCCAACTTGTTCATTAGGGTCTTTTTCTTGGCTAGTTCCCTGTCCCTTTTCATTCAGGGCAAGTTCCTGTTCTCCCTCACTAAATAAATAGGCTCTGTATTTTGTTTGGGTCTTGTGGGACTCACCAGAGTCTTTGACATGCATGGTCGATCATTTCAGGGACCACCAAAGGGCTGTTTGAGGTCTCTGTTCAGCCAGAACAGGCCCTGGTAAAGTTTGGACAGTCCCTCATGATCAACTGCAGCACGACCTGTCCAGACCCAGGACCCAGTGGGGTTGACACCTCCCTAAAGAAAACCCAGGTGGCCAGAGGGCCTCAGTGGAGGGAGTTCCTCCTGGATGACGTCACAGAGAGCTCCACCCTGCAGTGCTTCTTCTCCTGCTCGGGGATCCAAAAGGATGCGAGCCTGGGCATCACCATGTATCGTGAGTGGGGCCGAGGGCCGGGAGGAAGAGAAGCGTCGGGGAATGTGACTGCCTTATTTGGGGGAAATTAGACAGATTTCTTTTAGGGGAGAGAATTAGACAGATTTCTTTTAGGGGAGAGAATTAGGGCCCTTTATAAAGATTTCCATCATACTGTGGGAATTCTGGAGCCACTTCTGTTTCCCTTTGGTGTAGGCTTTTAAATTAGGAGCACACCATAGAGGGCATCCAGACATCTGTGCTTGAGAATACATTCAACTACAGGAGGCATATGCTAATAATGCTCACTTATGAATGGTCAAAAAAAGTGTAAAACTGGTGCTGAATTATTTGCCACAAGTTCTTAGCATAAGCAGAGATTGGAGAAAGGAGGGTCTCTGTGGGCTGGGGTACTTGGAGAAGTCTTCATGGAAGAGCAGACTCCGGAGCTTCACTCCGGCAGAGTGGTTAGGATTTGAAGTGATGGGGATGGGTGAGGAGGGTCTTTCGGGGGGCAGACAGCAGTGGCAAAGATCAGGTTTTAAGAACAAGTGTGATCCCTGCGGGGTAAGAGTGTGGTTAACTTGCTGTGGTTTCTGTGTGGTGCTCAGGAACCCCTCAGCATCTGCTCACACCCTGAAGCACTCTGGTAAGAGATAAACGCTCTCCAGAATGGGAGCAACCATCAAAGCAAGGCACCTCCCCCCAGCAGTCATATTTCTTGGTTATGGCTTTAGCCGCCTTTGACGGGCAGAAGAGCCAAAGGCTAACTTGTCCCATCTGACATTGTTGGTCAGATGGTTTAAGGGGAGCAGTCACCTTCTACCACAGGCTGCCTGTCCTGTACCATTTCTTTCTGGAGAGGTGAGTAGCCCTCTCTCATCACACTCGTGTTTTTGTTTTAAAGAGCCACCGGAGCAGGTGGTCCTGGAGCTGCAGCCTGCGTGGGTGGCCTTGGACGAAGTCTTTACAGTGAGGTGCCATGTGCCCAAGGTAGCACCCCTGGAGAGCCTCACCCTTACCCTTCTTCAGGGTAACAAAGAACTATATAGAAAGAACTTTATGAGCTTGGCTGTGGCCTCCGAGAGAGCTGAGGTCACCTTCAATGTCCAAGCACAAAGGGAGGATCACAGGTGCAATTTCTCCTGCCACGCAAAACTGGACCTGAGTTCGCGTGGTGGAGGGCTCTTTCACTCCAGCTCAGCCAGCAGGGTGCTCCGGATTTTTGGTGAGTTGGAGCTCAGGTATGGAAGGGATCCTGAGTCGCATTTTCTTTATCTTATTGTGGCCTTTGGGACTAAGTAGTTCTCACAGCGTTTAGGATGTGGGTGTGAGGATAATTGAACTTCACCTCTTCTTGGGCTTTAAGCTCACCCTAGGGGACAGAGACCTTTTTGCCCTACTTTCTTCCTACATTTTGGGCTCCTGTATGACATGATTTATCATGGTTTTTCTCCTTTCTTTCCTTTTCTTCATTTGTTGGCAGAATTCTCTCAGCGCCCCCAAATCTGGGTCTCTCCACTTCTGGAGGTTGGGACGGCAGAGGCTGTGAGCTGTGAGCTGGCCAGGGTGTTCCCAGCCAAAGAGGTGACGTTCCACATGTTCTTGGGAGACCAGGAGCTGAGCCCCTTCCTGTCCTGGGAGGGAGACACTGTGTGGGCCAATGCCACTGTTCGGGCCATGGAGACTGGCGATCAGGAGCTGTCCTGCCACGTGTCTCTGGGTCCGATGGAGCAGAAGGCGAGAGAGCTAGTGCACATCTATAGTAAGTTGCCAGCCTTTTCCCTTCCCCGTGAGGGTTCTCTGCCGCTGAAAACGTCCACTGAAAGCCCTGGTGACTTTCTGATCAGTGCAGGCAGGTGGGAGACATGTGTGGGGATGTGGCTTTATCCAGCCTTCGCCCTGTTTCCTTAGGCCATGCTACTCACAGAGTGATTGTGGGTGCTCGGACCCATTTCTAGGAATAGCCACATGAGCTGAGGAGGAAATCCATAAGGTGAAAACACATGCTGCTGTCCGTGCTGCACAGACAGAGCCCGCTGTGGGCATGCCGAGTTTGTTGTAGGAAAAGCTCTCCGTTCCCAAACCACCTTTGTTGCTCCTGCCACTCAGCCCCGAGCAGTACTGATCTCCTCGTCTTTCCCCTGTTGTCCGCCGACCCAGGGGATGCCACTGGCAGCAGGAGTGCCGAAGTGGCTGCCAGTTTTGAGAAAGATGTTCGGTTGTCTGTTCCCTTTCCTTATAGGCTTCCCGCCACCAGTCCTGGAGGTAGAAGAATTAACATTGGTAGGGACAGACCTTAACGTGACCTGTTCGGGGCACGTGTTAACATCGCCCAGCCCTACTCTTCGGCTCCAGGGAGCCCCAGTCCTCTCTGCCCCTGGGGAGCCCGTCTGGCTTTTACTTACCACCACAGAAGAGGATGATGGCCGGAATTTCTCCTGTGAGGCCTCTTTGGAGGTTCAGGGTCAGCAGCTGATCAAAACCACTACAGTCCAGCTCCATGTCTTATGTGAGTGTGGGCCCGATCCTCCTCTCGAAACAAGGGCTAGTGCTGTCCCACTTCCGGAGATCCCAGCCAGCAGCTTCATTATTAGAGTTGCCACATTTTTTCCTTTAAAAAATAAAAATAAAAAAATTACATTAAAGCTCTCCAAGCTTACCTTGCCACCAGCAAAGTGAGTGGGGAGGAACAGGAGGGAAACGGGGAGCAGAAGAGAGGAAGTGGGTTAAGGGATCAGGTGGCATTAACCGTGGGCCAGTTGACTGACAACATAGGGAGTGGTAGTTGGAGTTTATCCTGAGAAAGGAAATTTCCACATAAAAACTTGTATTTTGGAAAAAAGGAAAAGTGCTCCTCTCTGGGTTCACCGCTGCCCATGTTCTCACTCACCGGGAAGCAGGAGCCCCAGGGCCACCACTGGCGGAGCCGTCCACACCGTCGAGTCAGCGTCCGTGAAATTGCTCTGTGCTGCACCTCAGACTCCTTGCCTGTCGGGACGGGGGGTTGAGGGGGGCAGGTGAGAGAAGAGTGGCTCAAGCAGGGAGATGACAGTCCACCCTTGGGTGGAGGGGACACAGCATTTGGACTGGGGGAGGGAGAGGTGAGCGTGACCAGGGAGGAGGGAAGGTGCACACTGAGTTCTGCTCCCTTGGGGACTCTCTTTTTTTCCAGACAGGCCACGGTTAGAGGAATCCGGTTGTCCCAGCAACCAGACCTGGGTGGAAGGGACGGAACAGATGCTCGCCTGTGTCCCAAAGGGAAACCCAACTCCGTTGCTGGTGTGTACCTGGAATGGAGTGGTCTTCGACCTTAAAGTGCCACAGAAGGCTACCCAGAACCACACTGGAATCTACTGCTGCACGGCCACCAACCCGCTGGGCTCTGTCAGCAAAGACATTGCGCTCATTGTTCAAGGTGACTGAGGCACCCCTGCTGCCAGGCCCAGGATGGAAGTCGCCCAGGGGGTGGGGATTCTTATCCAAACACATAAAGAAGAAAGATTTCAGTGGGCCAGGGAGGATGAGACCTGGAAGTGTGCTCGGTGGGCTGGGGCAGGGTGATTCTCTTGGCCTTGAACCCTCCCAATTCTGTGTCTTCTGTGCTTGGGCAGGACTGGATGAAGGAATCAGCTCCACCATCATCATCATCATTATTGTCGCCCTTGGAGTGGGTGTCATCACCATCGCACTGTATCTGAATTACCAGCCCTGCAAGGTGGAGAAGAGGAAATTGCCCTATAGGCACAAAGAGAAGAGCAGAGTGGAGGAAAGCCAGTTCGAGGTTCAACAAGCAGAAATATGCATCATGCACAATTGTTAAATAGAAACAGTTCTTTGGTTAAAGGTGACCTCTGCTACTGGGGTTTCCTAAGGGAGGAAGGGAGTAGAGGAGGAAGGAAGAGACATCCCCTGTGTTATGAAATCCCATAGAACACGCTGAGGCCCCACGTCCCCTGCATCCAGTCCATCCTCAGGCTGCACTCCTCCAAGTGCACTGTAGTCTCCAGAGACTTCTGTCTCCGCGAGGCCACTCTCCTTGCCGTGCGCTCAGTCAGTCCGCTCAGACTCGGAAAAGAAGGCCCCGTCTGTGCCTCATCACCCCCATCACCACTGCCCTTTGCTCCCAAATACCAGAGATAGAACTGTCTCAGAATTGCAACTCATTCCTCATGGTTTCCTCAGAACTAAGTGGGAACCAATCTCTTAGTCCAGGGACAGGACTCTGAAGGGAGTAAGCACCAAACAAAGGGGTAGGACTCAGAACCCCATTCCCGTCTGCACGCTCCCCTGCCCCCTAACCTGGGGTCCGGAGTGCTGGCGCCCAGACCCGAGCCTGTTAGACTTCCACCCGCTGACCACCCACTGTGTGCCTTGGAGGAGAATAAAAATCATAAGACATTCCACAGGAGGTTTTACGCGGCCCAGTGCCCTGTCCCTGATGTGGAAATTCTTCCACGAAATTGGCCTCATAGATGAAGGGCTCTAAACATCTGTGAATTCCTTTCCAGAATGCATATAGGGTAATCACCTGTGAGTTCACATTTAACTTGTACTTTTTTTTGTTTGTTCTGCCTATACAGGCTCTTAGGCTAGAGTTCCAATGTTTATGCCTCCCCCTTTCCACAAATAAATATGTATTTTCGTGTTGTTGGCAAACTATTTCCTTTAAGTTTTAGGGGGGCTCCTTCTGTGACAACGTTTACCTCATGATTTTATGATTCAGCTCCCTTCTCTGTTCTTTGAAAAGAGAAGACATCAAGAATCATAAAAGCAGATCTCCCAGATCAGTCACATGTGGGTCACTGAAATGTTGGGACATGGCAGAAACCACATGGTTGCACCTTAAGTACAGTTTCTGAGAGTATCAAGTCGGTGGCATAAACAACCGGCCAGGGCAGGGGGTGCATTAGCTCAGGGCAGCAGCCTGCCTGACCTGCCCTCAGACCTGAAGTTCAGACTTCCAGACAGAGAGAAGTCCACAGCCTTTCACACAAGAAGAGCGCACCATCAGGCATCAACATGAAAAAATTTCATTTTTCCCAGAACTTTCCTGAGTCTGGGGTATGGATCAGATGTCAATCCTTTGGTTTCAACTCCTGCCAGGCAGTGGGGATACAATGGCAAACCAAGCACTCTCTCTGCCTTCTACAAGCTTACAGTCTCCAGGGGAGGCTGGAGCAAGTCAGCGGGAAATTACAGCTGTGCCTTCACTCCTGTCACCGGGAAAGCACATGTAGGTACAAGAACTTAGGACCAAGGCAGCATTCCTGGGAAGAGATTGGAAATACCTTGACTTTGCAGAAAAGTATGCCCCCAAAGTGACCTTTTCAGCCTAAATTTTCCACTAAATATAGTAGCCATTGCTTTCTCATAAAGTGAGTAATGTAAATTGTAAATTGTTCACTTTTCTGAATTGAGCACTTGGAGAAATAAGGTAGGAAGCAGGTTTAGGAGAAGAGAATATAGAATTGTCTAATCCAGGAAACTCCAGCCATTTTGGCGTCTTGGGATCAGCTGCCTCAAGTCTGGAGTTATTTCAGTCTGCAAACTTCATTTAGTGACACTGGTGCCCTAAAGCACAGTGAATCCTAAACAGGAGGGAGGAAGGGGGTCATTTGGACTTACTGGTTCCATCCTGGAGAAAACTCGGAGGCTTCGGCTACCCCGCCTTTGCTTCTCACTGCCACATGGTGTCACTGTTGACAGTGTCCTACCCAGTTCACGAAACCTCCCAGTTCTGCAGATCCAGGTTCTGGGTCAGCGGCCCTGGCGTTTTCAGGGGCTCGGTGTGCTTCCTCAGGGCCTGGTGCAGCCAGAGGCGACTCCTTACATGGGTTTCCAGGGCTACACTTCTCAGAGCTCAGTGTGTTGGATTAGCGGTCCAACAAGGCTCTTCGGATTTGGGTAGCCACACCCCCTATCACAGGTTTGGAAGTTCGGCTCCCCTTGCATTCCCCAGAGATCCAGGGAACCAGGGAGCAGCTGCCCCTTTTTGGTCAATTCTTAAAGCACAAAAGGGGTTCATTATGTCTCTTTTCTAAAATAATAGAGCTGGTCTCTGCTAACTCTTCTAAGGGCAGCTCTCTTGTCTCCAGGGGCCCCCACTCCCTAAAATGTTTGGAATATATATATATATATATATATATATATATATATATATATATATATATATAAATTATATATATATATATATATATATTTATTTTATTTATATATATATATATATATATAAATTTTTTTTCCTGAACAATAGAGAACCAGCTCACACTTAACTGCAGTTACCCTGATTATCTTCAAGGCAAGAGAGCTACTTTCAATGCTCCAAAAGTTTATTCTCTTATAAAAATCAAGGTAACTTGCTGTTGTCTTTCTTTTTAAACCTGAGGGAAAAAAGCTAAATCTTCAGTGGGGTTTCTTACTATAGGGATAATAGTATTTACCTATTATAGGATTATAGTTGGAAAGAAATGACACAGTGCTTATAAAAACACTAGCATGGTGTTGCATACATGTGTTCGCAAGTACTCATTTTTATTATTACACCAATAAAGCTGGTAGTCATTATACCATAATTATAATATATTCCAAACAGAAAACCATGGCAACCATCAAAAGTCATAGATCACAGACACCTCCTTTCTCTTCCCCATTGTGTTCTCCCTTCCTCCTTTTCTATTCCTCTTTTTTCCTCTACTTTTCTCCTTTTTTGTTCCCTATGACTTAGGACCACGCATAGGAGGACCAGTTGTTCCAGTTTGCATTGAGAGGGAGAGTTCTGGGACACGGCACTCCCAGCGCTGGAGCTGGGGTGGTCTCGTGCGAACTGGGGTAAGCTGGCAACCAAGGATAAGCTGGATCAGGAGGGTGGGCAAAGAGAGAGGGGAGGGTCATTTCTGCCCTCAAATGTGTATAAAGGGACAAAACCGGTACATGTGCTCAGCAATGCTGGAAGAAGATTCAGAAGTGGTCGTTTGGGTTAAGTTTTAAAAATTACAAATGGAAAAAATACAATAAAGATTAAATTAAAAACATTAAAAAATAAAAATTACATGAACTGTATTACAAAATCGGACACATGAAACCTATATAATTTTATCTTTTTAAAAGATTTTATTTATTTATTTTTAGAGAGGGCAAGGGAGGGAGAAAGAGAGAGTGAGAATCAATGTGAGGTTGTGTCTCACATGGCCCCCACTGGGGACCTGGCCTGCAACCCAGGCGTGTGCCCTGACTGGGAATCAAACCTGCGATGCTTTGGTTCACAGCCTGAGCTCAATCCACTGAGCTGCACCAGTCAGGGCTTGAAACCTATATAATTTTATTAACTAATGTCACCCCAACACATTTAATAAAAGGTTTAAAAATGTTTGAACAAAGGAATTGAAACAGTAAAATAAAAAAATAAATAAAAGATTACATGGAGTAGGAAAAACATTATTCCAGGACTCTAGGATTACTTGAACTCGGCCTATTGAATTTTCTTATGCAAAACATGCTAATTTTAGCCTTAAAATGACTTCATTTTCTTTTAGTCATTGGTTTTAGAGAGAGGAAGGAGAGGGAGAAACGTCGATTTGTTATGCATAAGTGGACAAGAAATCAATGTTTCTCTCTCTCTATAATCAATAAATAAAAAAAGAAAAAATACTTAAAAGTTTTAAAAAGTTGTGATAAAATAGACATAACATAATGCTTGCCATCTGAGATGTCCTCGGCACACAGCTCAGCACCGTGGAGCACACGCACGTTGCTGTGTGACCCGTCTCCAGGACTCGCTTCATCTCGTAAAACTGAAACTCCAAAGCCACTGAGCAACTCCCCGTTCCCCCTGCCCCAGCCTCTGGTAACCACCATTCCACAAGTTCTCTCTCTGAATTTGACTGCAGCATGTACCTGATATGAGAGAAATCATATAGTATTTGTCTATTTGTTACTACTGGCTTATTAGAAAATTTTGAACGACTGTTTAGAATTAAAAACAAGAAGAGCCACAACTGGTCCAGGTCTCACAACTCCTTTTGCCCCTCTCCCCCAATGCCTTTTTTAAAAAAATTATTTTACCAATACAATAGCTGTGACATGTGTAACCTCATCTTTGTGGTCCCAAAGTCAGTGGTTCTCAACCAAGTCTGCATTTTAGACTCAGCCGGGGAGTTTTAAAAACACTCTGGCCTGGGCCCTGGCTACATAGCTCACTTGGTTAGGGCAGGGGTGTCAAACTCATTTTCACTGGGGGCCACATCAGCCTCGAGGTTGCCTTCAAAGGGCCGAATGTAACTTTAGGACTGTATAAATGTAACTACTCCTTCACAGTTAAGGGAGAGCTGGGCGCTGCCGCCAGGTAGGAACAAGATGCCGGGCCGGATTCCTCCCGAGGGCCTGGTGTTCGCCACCTGTGGGTTAGAGTGTTGTCGGGGTCTGCCAAGGTTGCCCTGGATCTCAAGTCAGGGCACAGACAAGAAGTATGTCTCTCAGTGTCCCAGGTTCGATTCCCAGCCAGGGTACATTCCTGGGTTGCAGGCCATAACCCCCAGCAACCACACATTGATGTCTCTCTCTCTCTCTCTCTCTCTCTCTCTCTCTCTCTCTCTCCCCCTCCTTTCCCTCCCTAAAAATAAATAAATAAAATCTTAAAAAAAAAAAAGAAGTATGTCTCTCTCTATCTCTACCTTTCCCTCTGTTTCTCTAAAATGAATTTAAAAAATTAAAAAAATGCCCACAAAAATACACTCTTGCCTGGATTCCTCCCCAGACCAATTCAATCAGAACTGCCGGAGTGGAGACCATCGCCAGAGGTGTTTAGAAAACCTCCCAGGCGTTTCTAATTTGCAGTGGAGGTTGCCATTCACTGCCTAATTGAAGAACTGAAAGGCAGAAAGCAATTGCTAAAGAGTTTAGGGTAGATGGTCTTTAAGGTCTTTTTAAATTCAAAATTTTTGCAAAATCAACTAGCACCTTTGAAATTCTCAACCAGCAGGGGTTGAGATTCAGCTATCCCGGGAAGAAACTGAGCTGGTAATCTCTGGGTGTGTGGCTCCCCCTGCAGTTGACTTCTGTCATGACACCTTAGAATCCTCTTAACCAGTAGCTATAACAACATCCCTCCAACCAGGGGTGTCAAATTCATTTTCACTGGGGGCCACATCAGCCTCGCGGTTGCCTTCAAAGGGCCGAATGTAATTGTGGGACTGTATAAATGTAGCTACTCCTTAACAGTTAAGCGAGAGCTCGGCGCTGCCACCAGGTGGAAACAAGGTGGAGGGATCCGGCCCGCAGGCCTTGGGTTCCCACGTGTGCTGGGCATCCCTCTCTGCCACGGGTCATTCCAACAAGCACTTAAGATGGCTCACGTTTCCTTTGAAAACACTTACTCAAGCCAAGACATAATTATATGTTTGTGCTAATTATATCAACTTCTAAAGACCATGAAATTTCCAAATAGTTCTAAGGTCAAATGAAGGATATTACAGGGATATTTGATTTTGGCTTAATGTAAGAAATGCTTGTCTGAAACCAGAGAGATTTCGTAGCGTGTGCTGCCCTGTGGAATAGTGATTCCCTAGATGCTAGTGCCACCCGTGAGCACCCTCTGCACGGGGGGCTACGGAGTAAGGTCCTTAAACCAGCAGGAAATCGGGTGACTTACGAGGCCCTCCTAACTCCAAATGCCATGACTTTAAAGTTGGACAACAGAAGAACGATCTAAGGCAGACGAGTGGTTTCTGAGCCAAGAAATGAAGTTCCGGGGTTCCAATTATTTCCATTTTCAACTACTCCCCAAAGACTTATGTGATTAAATGTAAAATATTGAAAACAAATACCAATGGCTCTTGTTTTAAAGAAAATGCATTATAGCACATAAAAAATCTGAACTTTTCAGGAGGATTAATTAGGAGGGTGATTATTTGCATTGTAAAAGAATTCCTGATGTTGTAGCATCATATTTGGATAATAGTTACACTATGGGCATGGTCCTGCCATATGACTGCCCAGGAAGCTGGGACCATGGACCTAGGAGTGAACTTGGTGTGTAACAGAGAGGAGTGAATGTGTGAGCCTCTTTCTAGCACAGGAAGAATTGCCAGGTTAGTTCGCATTCAGGGGCCTGGCTCTATTTAATAGAGCCCACAGCATTCCTGCAGGTTGTCCTCCCAACCGCCCCTTGCCCTATATATACTCCCCCGTCCTATTCATAATAAAATGACACCTACTCAGACATTATGATGCAATTTTATTTTATTAGGAAAGGATGGTGGGCACTGGGGTGTCCCTTTCCAGGGTCAGGGGAGGCACTGGGGAAGGGTCAGAGAGATGCCCAGCGGTTAGAAGGCACAGCTACTTTCCATGAAGCGGCGACACTTCGTGAACCGCAGGTATGTCTCAACCTTGTGCAGGTCCTTCTTGAAGCAGGAGAGTAGCCCGTAGTTCTTGAGCACTGTATCATCACTACGCAAGTTTGTGTCAAACTTGTCATAGGTCGTTTGCCTGAGGATCAGCCCAGCCCGGGGGCTGCCGTCTTCCAGCTCCTGCAACAGGGAAGGAGAGAGAGAGACTCAGTCCTTGCTGGCGGCTCCCCCTTCCTCCTCCACGTCCCTCCCTCCCTCCAGGACTTAGAGAAAGGCATGGAGGGTTCAAAAGGTGAAAGGAGGAGTAGGACTTCTCCAGGGTCAGGGCTGAGCTGCTACACGGACAGCGGCAGTACCTCTCTTGCCAGCCCTCGTAAGTCCCCTACCCCTCAGCTAAGCCAGTGGAGCCTCCTGGCCCCGGGGAAGGGCAGGCATGGCCCCAGGGTTGGGCCAACAATACCATCCCCACCCGCATCAGGACTTGGATGCCTTCCTCCAGGTCCTTCAGCTTCTCATAGACACGGTTCGAGGTGAAGACCCGGCTGAAGAACTGCACAGGCCCGAGCCAGGACTGGATGAGCAGCAGGGAGAACCGGAGCAGCTCCATGTCCTGTGGGGAGGGGGGTGTGGTGGGCACCGGCAGCCGCGCCAGTGGTGGCCTCTGCAAGCCTCCGCCTGCCATCCCACCTCCCACTGCCACCCTCGGCCACCCTGGGGAGAAGGCAGCCCGGGGCCCGGGGCCAGGCACAGCCGCCCAGCTCCTGCGCAGAGATGGGGCCAGCCACCTTCTTAGAGAGAGGGAGACCTCTGTTCCTTGGCTGGGCCACAGAGGCCACTCACGGATTTCTGCCGAGCCTCCTCCTTGCCCGTGGGGGCCGGGATGGTCTCTGAGAAGCAGAAGGCAGCCTGGATCGAATATCTCTGGCTCTCTGGGACATACGTGCGCTCCTGGGAGAAGGAACATTGGCCCAGGTCTAAGTGGGTGCATGGTTCTCATCACTGCTTTCTTTGGAGCCTCCCTCAGTTTACACTCACCTGACAGCATCTTTACTTGGATAAAATCACCCTGAATTCATCAATTTCCTCCCATTATGTTGGGGCCCTTCCTGCCCCCCGCCCCTCACCAGCTTCCCGGGTTGCTTACAAACTCTCTGTAGGTGTCAGCAGCCAGTTGGTGCAGGTGCTGGGCCCGGAGCACAGCGTTGGCAAACAAGCTGGACAAGGACATGGTGGGGAAGGCGCCCACCTCCTCGGGCCAAGGCAGGCAGAGCAGGGCGAAAGCCAGGAGCACTGAGGTCCGGGGGCCTAGAGAGAGTTGCGGAGACTGAGAGTGGAGCCCCAGAGAGGAGGAAGCCTGAGTCTCCAGCCAGCCCTTTCCCTACCCCAGGGACCTCCCTTTCTCCTCTCCGTCCCCCAGGGCCTGAGAGCATTTAAAACTTGGCCACATGTCTGGGCACAGATGTCTGTGCTCACATTCAGAAACCCCAAAGCCCACGGTCAGTGCCCCCATCCACCTGCAGGCCCCCCATGTTGCCCCTCAATACACAGCAGGCCCAGGGAGATTTTAGGGGTACGTACCTGCAGCCATCACAGCTGGGTGAGCTGTCCACAGGTCCCTGAGCAGTTTGGGGAGCTGGGTCCTAGGATCCTGGAATTGATCCCTTGCGGACCCTTTTTATACCCTGGCCCCATCTCTCTCCTCCCCTGCCCCGACCTGTTTTCTCTATGCATTTATGTACGGGCCCTCAGGCCTCTGCTGATGGATAATTTAGAACCTCCTCCCACTCATCCTGTTCCCGCTCCTCTCCGGGGGTCATGCCCCCCGGGCTCATTCCCCTCTCCACTGTCATCAGCCCTGTGAGGGCTGCACACACAGGGTCCCAACCAGGGCGATTACCCAATCTGTCCTCTTTTTAAGGGGTGGGGGTGACAGAAGGGAGTTGTCTAGGCCCAGGTGCGCGCTGGCAGGACATCGCTGTGCGGTTGTCCCCCCGGGGTGAGGAGGGCCCATCTGGTCCCTCAAAGGGACACAGCCTGTGTCAGGGTGGCTGGGCCTTCAGAGCTGTGTCAACCCCTCCCTTGCTATATCCCTTTTCTCTTCCCTGTGCAGTTTCCTTCCACCCACCACAGAGAATATGTGTTTTGAAAAGGGGGTCAAGACAGCAATGGATTCTGGAGTTTCTGGGTACAGTTCAGGCCCAGATTCCATCTTCATCTCGCGCCATCCTCAACCCATTGGCAGTTGGATGCAGTGCTAACACTGACCACTAGAGGGCACAAGCCACGCACTGCCCTTCCTTTCCCTGAGAGTCGGGGCTCTCCCAGAATGGGTGGGCAAAGGACCAAAACTTTAGGTATGGGTGCTCTTTTGGACCTGCACAGAGATGCAGAATGGGAAGCATAAATCCCAGGAACAGACAGGTGCCACAAGTGCTTCCTCCCACAGCCCTGTCGCCATCAGAGAATCTCAAAGTTGGATGAGAACTTGAGAGTTTTGATTCTTGTCTGCATAGTGGGAACTCAGGGTACAGCAACCTGAAGGATGCTCTCTCCACTCATTGTAGTCTCCTCCATTCTGTTTTCTCCTCTTAACATTTGTACGGAGCGTATTAGGTTGTGAAGAGCATACTTGTGTGTTCTCACTTTTGAACCTCTCCATTCCACAGGGGAAGGGACCGAGGTTCAGAGAGGTCCTCGCAGGAGCGACCTCGGCCGAGGCTGCAGGTCTCCGAGGCCTCTCCCCATGTTGCGCCGTCCCAAGCCTTTCTCTCAGGCAGACGGGTGGGTGCCACCTAGTCATTCTAACTTCACATCCCTCTGAACACAGGGATCCTCCCTCTAATCACAAGGGTCCCTTTGTCTCGTCTTGTCCTCTCCTAAAGGACAGGTTGTTGTCCCTCAATTCCCAGGTGAGGATGGCCCAGAGACACAGTGTACAAGTTAGAGACCACACAGCAGGCAAGGCTAGGTAGGGCCTGGGAAGGCCAGCACAGCTGCCTTCCAGCCTCCCGGTGCCCAGGGTCCTGGCCATTTCAGCAGCTGGATGTTACCAGCCCCCAGGGATACGAGCAGGAAAGAACACATTCTCTTTGTTTAGACCTTTTGCCCCTTGAGTCTAAGAACATTTAGCACTTGACCCTGTGGTAAAACAAACAAGCAACCCCTTCTATGGGTGGTTGGTTATGGCCTTGGCAACCAACGTTGAAAAGTCACCGCCGTGGTCCACGATGTGCGTACTTGTGCCTCGCCACCTCCCCCTTTTAGGACCAGAGGGGAGAACTCCCTTTTCTCCCATCATTCCTGAACCATTGCCCAACCATGCCTCTGCTTTGTTATCTGCTGGGAGAACACTCGGGCCTGTGGGAGCTGTTCTCCAGGCAGGACTGCCAGAGGAGCAGGGTGGGCTGTCATCAAAGCTGCAGGCTCTGAGGAAGGTGAGACAACCCTTCCGTATTCTTTTAACTCCTCCAAAGAGGAGGAGCCAGGTGGGAAGTGGAGGAGGGTCTCTGAGCTTCTCACAGCCTTCTGCCTCCCCTGCCACTCCTTCCTCCTCTGTCACCTGGGGGAAGGAGCTCGGATGTGGAACCTCTCGTGACAGGCTTCCAGCTAATGCTGGGAGGCCTTGTATGTGAACTGTGGACCATGGGAGAAAAGCCCCAGGCCTCCCCTTGGTGTGAGGATATGAAACTCAGGTTGGGGACTGCTCGAGAGCCACGCAAGTGTGGCACAGAGGTGTGGCTGAGGCCCCTCACCAAGTAGGTTACTGCCAAGAGCAGATGGGACTGGCCAGAGCAGGGTGTGCCTCCTCTCACCACACCCACTGCTGTTGACCCAGAACGAGGTTGACCCATGGGACTCTGGGGACCATTGGGGGTATACCTTTTCCTAGAGGTCACCATGGTGGCAACTATTGGAAGAACTAAAGGGTGTGTGGTGGATGCTGGTGACCCTCTCCTCTGGTGGGACCTCTTCAGGCCCACTAGCGACGGAGACCACAGACATGACCCATCGTTAGCAAAAGATAAGTTTTGAATTAGATGGGATTTTCCCTCTAGTGCAGGAAGTCACACACCCTTTCTTGAGGCACCACCTGGGGCCAGACCCCTGGCTTCTCCAGGTTCAGAGACCGCCCCAAAATGACCTCTGCATGGTGGCCAGTGGGGAGCAGCTCTGGCTAACACGGCTGAGGCTGGCCTTATGAGGCTCGGATGATTCCGTTATCTTGGAGTCTGTGAATTTCAGTGTGCTGGGAAGCCCTTCATGTTTCCATACTTAACCATCTCTGGGGTTCTCTGGACCTGTTGTGGAAACTCTCAGATCTGTTCTTGATCCAAAAGTGCCCTCTTTTAGGCTTCCAGAGGCCCTTCGAGGTTCAAGTCTGTGGGGTTTAGGGCCATCTCATTATTCAGAGCCATGCTCGCCCTGATCTCAGCGACAGCCTCAGAGGGACTGGTGGCACCTCTTTTCCCCTCCCTTGGTCACTTGAGGCCCACACTTCCCACTGCTCAGTCTGTCCTGGCTTCCTTGGGGCCAGAGTCTGGGATTATCCCCAGGACAGACTTGCTTACTCTTTGCTTCTGTAACTGAACACAGGCCCAGCTGCCCACCACTTCAAAAGCTAGTACTCAAGAGGCAGGTGCTGATGTAAAGGAAAGTGGTTTTATTCAGGTGCCGGCCACCTGGAAAATGAGGGACTCTTGTCTCAAAGCCCATCTTGGCAGCTTAGGTGTCCTGGCTGGTTTACATAGGGGAACCATAGGAAGAGGGAAACTAAGGAATTTCTGGCTATGGGCAGTTTCTGAGCTATGCTCTTGGATGTTTCAATGTTATCTCCTGCGTACATCATCATGTGGTTTCATCACTCCCTCCGCTGATATCTGGAAACAGGACATGCAGGCAGTGTTTCTCCAGGTTCCGACATGAGTCACTGACGCTTGCCCAATTTCTTGTGGTCAGGGTCATTCCTTGGTTAAGCAGGAGCTGCCACTGCTGATGTCTATAAAATACTTATAAGGAAAATTTTAGTACATGAATCTTCCATGTGTTTGTTAGTACAAACTATTCTGTAATGACCACCTGATTAGTATGTTATGTTTACTTCGATGACTGTTACAATTCCCCACTCTCCATTTTTCCTCCATATCTAGGGAGCTATTGATGTCCTCTGAGTCTTCTGGGGGAATGAAAAATTTTAGCCTGTTGTAAAGCAAAATCCCGTGAATTAAAAACATATATATTTTTTAGAGGCACCTGTTGAACAGTATAATTTTTCTGGTGTGGGAAAACCAAGTCATAAAGAGTTTTGACACAATAATGACAAGCATTGTAAAGAAAAGAATAGTTAGACCTAGATTAAAAATTCCTCCTAATGTGCACTTGAGTCCTTGTGGTAGCCATGAAAATAGACTTGCAAACCAATCTCCAGTTCCCTCAAAGAGAGGGGGGTGGTAGTCCAATGTTTGTTGAAGCCAGGTAGCCTGTTGCTAGGTTTTGGTGATGCTTGTTTCCAGCTGAGCTGAGGTGTCCACGTAAGTACAGCCAGACCAGTTGATGGTGGTTATGCAAACTCCTCCTTGTTCTGCTGGTATACAGTGTGAGCTAATTCGATCATCTAAGATGACTTTAGCTAGAGAGTCCAGAGATTTCTGAATATCAGCAAGTAAGGTTACAGTTTCATTGGCTCTGGTGATTCAAGTCTTAGGGAGATTCCAAAGTACATGCCGACTTGCACCAAGCTAATACCGTACACCTAAAGAAATATTTGTCACTGTCTGGGATTTCTCTAGGGAGATCTCAGGCCGTCCGTGTGAACATCGATTGCTTGTCCTGGAGCCCCATCTGCCCAAACAATTGTACTTGCTTGTAGATCTCAGGAAGGGACCGTTCTCCTCTGGGGCCCTGGGGCCAGGCTGAAAGCATCTGGAGCTGGAGTGCATGTTCCAGCGGGACTTGCAGGTGAAGCTGCCACCTCTTAGGTGAAAAGGTTACTCAGTTTACAGAGCAGGTCCCATCCCAGCAGAGAGGTGGGACACTCAGGCAAATAGAGGAAGTTGAGGAAGCTGTGTGATAAGCTGTGTGATAAACTGTGTGATAACTCAAGGGTCCTGAGTTGGTATTCTAAGCCTGGAGAGAGATTTGTTGCCGCATTTGTCTCCTTATCTCTATGACTGAGACTGTTGGGGGTTTTTAGTCAATTTGGTGTTTGATAGGGAGTACGTGGCTCCCACAACTACTAAAAGTCAGTCAATGTGTTCCCCTCTGCTGTTGTACCTGGGGCTCCTGTGGGGAAATAATGACGGGTTGTGGGTGTCTAGCGGAGCTTTGGGCCTCATTTATCCTCTGAGTCACCATCTGCCTGTGTGTCTCTTTTTATTTATTTATTTTTTCATGCCTGTTGCTAAGCACCTGAGCTTTCCACCTTGGTAAACTTCTGTACCTGGTCTATCATCCTTGCTCAGATCTTGTCTGTGTATAAGTGAAAAATAAAGCTTTGAAGACAACTGAACTAGAGTTTAATGTCCATAACTGTGTATTAGGGTCTGTTGAAACACAATTTCTCCCCCTGAAATAACCTTCATTTTTATCAGAGCCAGATCAAGACCAAGTCATTTACTGCATTAAGTCCAGTTTTGATTCAGCCGGATTACTTGCATAAACATAACTGGGATAGCAATTGATCACATCGGCTCTCTCAAATGCACTTTGCTGGAATTTCCAGATTGAGCTTTCCTTAGCTGCACAGACAGGAAAGCCAAGCCACCCAGCTGCCATAAGGCTTTGCCTGAAATACCTATAACTTTGGGTGAGTTCCTCAAGT